CTGAATGGAAGTCGAGTGCGGGGGCGTGGGCGCATCCCTCAGGCGGGATTGGTTAACGCCAATTTATTTTTTACCCCTGGTTATTCTGGTTGTTTCACACGAAAAAAAACAAAAATAAAGGTTCATTTTGCTATAGGGTATCAGCTAACTTTCTGAATGGTCGGGTCTTTCCAAAGCTCTTCGAGGTCCTCACTACGCCCTACATTCCTGCCGTTTTTTCCAGGTGGTGGGCATAGCCAACAGTCATGCACCTATCCTAAAGCTCTCGGGATTCGAGACAACAGCAAAGATGCTTGACCATGAGCACGTTCCGCAAAAGGTTCAAATTACGCCTACAGGAATATGTGAACAAGAAGAGCTGGTAGAGGGTTCGAACGATCTCGTGTCCTTAGATTAAACATGAAATAAGGGCCCGATTAGAGCGCTGGGTCCGCGTGGACATATGAATGACCCAAGTATGGCCATTGCAATGCAAATTGGAGAAAGTAGTAATTGTAAATATCGAAAAATTTTGTCTAGGCAATCATAACCACAACCTTGACAACAGTGCTCCCAAACTCAACCCATCCTTCCTTCCAAATGACCACACACATTGGTTCCCTTTTGACGGTCCTTACCTCTCTATTACTCGGAGGCAATCTCCCCGTTGAGGTTGTGGAGGTTATTTTCCTTATCCGATCCGAATCATTGCCTTCGTTTCATGTCCAGCTTATCCGGTTTTTGTTCATTGAAATCCCCTTAGGTCTGCTAGATAAATACACAATAAATACATCGTATGGGGTGTAACGACGCACATGAATCTCTCCTTTAGGCGATTAGGTTAGGAAACAGTCCTCTTTACGTTTTCTAGCCCTTTAATGAGCATCTTTCTTTGTACCGGTTTCCATGTTGATCACTATACCATTCACTTTTTTTCAGGATGTAAGTGCCGATGAAGCACCGAAGGATTGCGTTGTGTGCGGCAGAACCGTCTATCCAGTTGAACGGGTGTTCGCCAATAAACAACTCTATCATAATCAGTGCTTCAAGTGTGCCAAGTGTGAAAAGAAATTGACGTGAGTTTCTGGCTTTCTGCCAAGCAGTTACATTGATATTGTGACATTTTGCGATTTGTTTTGGAGCGTAAAATTCTACTATATCTCCTTGTCGGGAGCAATTTTGTCAACTGCCTTCAGGCATCATTGCCGTCCAGGATAAGGGAGTGAGACAAAAGTAACAAATCGTGCTAGCCACGCCATATAAGCTTGCGTCTATGTTAAACGATTCTGTGTTAAGGCGCATCGACTGCATTACGTGACCGGAACAAAATTGTGCAGAGGAGATGCGCGGTGCGTAGTGGGAGGCAGACTGTCTGGGTAATAATGTTGGTTCACGTTTGCCTGACAAAAATCACAGAAACAGAAGCGATGGGTTCGGCTCACATGGTCAGCCCTTCGAAATTCAGTACTACATATAAGCACACCTCAATCAGCGGGCTACAATTACTGTAGCATGATAGAAGTCTAGATAGGCTTCGGGCTTTGCATTCAGCTTTGCTTTTTTATAATTTAGTGATTCTGTTATTTAGGTGTAAAAATAAGGAAATTCTTCAAAAAGCAATCATAAAATTGACAAAGATTTCACTTTCATGTTTGAAGTCTTGTTTTTGTTTCTTTATTTGTCCTTTTAGTTCTCAAACTTTGGCAATTTTTGGGAACACCGAAGACTACTTAGGATAGAGCTACCTAGTGACTTCTGAAGAAGCTTATGATTGCTGAAATTCTGAAGTATTACTCCCCATTTTCTAACTCAAATAGTCGTCTTATTAAAACTGGCTCGATGAGTTTATGAATCTCATGGAAAGTGAGTTTCCCAAGGATTATTCAATCGAAATCAGGGTTAAAGTAAAATCAACATTGAGCGCTGATCCAGGCTGGAATTGAATTCGAAAACAAGTTCGGTGAATCCGTCCGATGGAAAAACGTAGTGTTAATTCGGGTTTGTATAATTGTTGCTACAATCCAATCGTTCCAGTAGAAATGACAAAAGTATGGGTACGCAGGAAGTGGTCCACTTGAGAGAACTGATAGTTGACTTTGAACAACTGGTACTAAGCAAAGGAGGACTAGAAAGGTTTTCTAGCTCGCATAGTCGTCTTATTAAAACTGGCTCGATGAGTCTATGAAACTCATGGTAAGTGAGTTTCCCAAGGATTATCCAATCGAAATCAGGGTTAAAGTGAAATCAACATTGAGCGCTGATCCAGGCTGGAATTGAATTCGAAAACAACTTTGGTGAATCCGTCGGATGGAATAACGTAGTGTTAATTCGGGTTTGTGTAATTGCTGCTACCATCCAATCGTTCCAGTAGAAATGACAAAAGTATGGGTACGCAGGAAGTGGTCCACTTAAGAGAACTGATAGTTGACTTTGAACAACTGGTACTGAGCAAAGGAGGACTAGAAAGGTTTACAAGCTCAGGGAGGCTTCTCCTAGTTCCAGAAGCTTATTTACTCCAGAGGCTACTTTACGCTGGTAAGGTGGCACGTACCCGCACAGAGCAACGACAGTAATTCCTTTCTAGTTATCTACATAGAAGACAAATTACTCTGCGAAGGTGGCCTTGTAACTGTAGTCGGTCATTGACCGTATGTTAGAGAGTTATGGCGTTCAATCTTTGAGTTCATGAGGTGTTGTCGATCAAAAACCACTTTCTCTTGGAGTAGCGTCAGCCATTTTTTCGAGTTCCATTGTTTTTGTCTTGGCGATTTCGTATAATATCATCAGTGAGGAGTTTGTTATCGGATGGTGAACCAGAGCTGTTGTTGTGTTTCTCCCACAACTTCTTTGAGCCAAGTCATGGAGCTGAGCAGAGCTGTCGCTAGAATTTGAGCTTGACTTGAGCTGGATCAACTTAGATTGTTTCCAGCATACCCTTCCTTCAGTTTTTGCTCGGTATTAGACAGATCTAAACGAATACAACAGGTAGGAAGGAAATCGGAAGATTTTCCGGGCCCAAGTTCCTAACCACATAGTATGGAATCTTGAAGATTAGCCCTATCAGCCAGAAGGTTGAATCAAACGTTTCAAGCTGACCAACTCAGAGGAAGATGCCATAAATCTGCTTTGCCCACATGTTTGGAATGTCCAGAAACTTCCCCAAAACCTGCTTGACTACCATAATTGTGTTTCTTGCTGTCGTACACCTAAACCAGGCAATAGCCTTTACGAACTTGCTCAATCCAGAATATGTAATGCGGATATGGAGGAGTATGGCTAGTTCTGGTGTCTCAGTAAGAGATGCTTATCCCAAGCCGAGCTTAGGCTACTTATTGGGTGTTCCATAGCGGTGTCCATTCTAGTGACTATTGGCGATGTGTTGTTTAACGAGTTCACGAGTCCAATGGGTGAATGACTAGGATTGGGATCAATTACTATTCTGTTGCGGGGGGTTAGAGAGGGGGCGTGACTGGTATATGGAATTGGATTTAGCGCGATGACGGCGCGGCGGCTTCCTCTGTTGAAACATTGTCATTGTCGGCCGGCGGCTTCCATTTCTGTTTCTGTCATGACACATTTTATAGAGCTTCTTCTCTTCGACGTACCTTTTGGTTACTCACGCTGGACGAATCCCACTACCCCTATGAATTCCTTGCTATTGCTGGGAGAGACCCTACACCTTATCCGATATGTATGGGTGATTTGGTTACAAATTGCGCAAGCATGAGCAATTTGTAACCAAATCACCCATACATATCTAATACAACGATTCGCCCTGATAGTACAACGTATGCGTATGGGAAAACTCTCATAGTTATCGTTCACCAAGGGGGGATCCTAGACATGAAGTCAGTAACCATCAGAAAGTAGGCTTTCGACGATGAAACTCGTCAGCAGTGGAACGAGGCCTGAATGGTCACCTGAAAAAAAGCCTAACTTATGTGATTTTGATCCCATTGCTTTCATAGGCGAAGTTTTATTCCCAACAGCCTCTATAAGAGGGCTTTTCAAGCGAAATAATGAATAATAAAGCCCACTTTTTAGCCCACTACACCTTCCGCATAATGCTTTCACGTACCCAACCGAATACTTGATGTCGTAGCTTAATTTCGCTGTTCCCCTTTGCTGCTTCTTCGTCTACTTCAAGCTCTTCGATTTAATATCATTGTTTGTTGGCCTGGTATTTTTGACAACTTAATTCGAAATTCTGAATCTGTGAAAAATGAAATCGTCGATAGAAGACCAGCTTTTTGCGGAGGTTCTACATAGATATTTGAGTGGCTGGGAAGTTACGGTAATGCTTGCTCCGTATTGGCAAATTCGGGTTGCAACAGAGGCAGTCTCTTTTCCCGTTAAGGGTAGCGGACCACCAAAAAAGCGTCAAGGACCTCTGAGTTACCTGATTTTTCGTTCACTACTGGGATACTTCAGGGAATCTCCTTCCTCTGCATTGTGTCCACGAGTTTGTTCCTATTGCTCCAGGTCCTAGACCCTTCCATATCTGGTTTCACCTGTTCATGCGTTAGAGCTGATATGGAAGGGTCTAGGAGATACCAGTTGAACCACATGCACCTGCATCGCTTTATATGTTCGCTCTATGTAATCGCCGTGTAACTCATTCAACCTTGTTCCGCATAATTGCAGTTAGGCTCGAGTCGATCAAAGTGAATTGGGCTCATGAGCATTTTTGAGAGACTGAGAAGCCCTTCCTCTCAAACCTAAAGCTATCACCAAAAATCAGAAATCACTAAGATGTTGTTCAACTGGTCCCCTTACAATCTCTGTTTGTGATATATATATGTATGTAGCGTGGCTTACTGGTCACTCAGAGGTGCCAACGTTTCCGTCAAATTAAAATGTAGAGCCCCTTGTTGGGCCTCTATTACGGTAGGTTAGCTACTTCTCCTACCGTCTGTCATCCTGCTGTACAATCATTCAATTTACTTTTCCATCTCTGATTGGTCATTTTCAGGCCAACCAATTACAATTCACATCAAGGTGTACTACTGTGCAAAGTCCATATGCTTGAAGTGTTTCATCCGGAAATCGCAAAAACTATGGATCCGGCGAACACTGAGGGTGAGTGAGGGTGTGGGGAATAGCTGGCGTACATTCGCAATGAATGAATAGTGGCGATGAATAATGAAGGATCGCATGACTGAATGAATTAATCACAGTCGGCAGGCCTCCCAAGTGTGCGGTACAAATAAAAGACTCCCGTAGGCTGGTGGAAGGTGAGGAGGGATTTCATTAAACGTATGTACGAAAAAATGAGGTAATTCATTTATTCTGGGCTATTTTATTTGGGATTAGACAAGACTTGGGTATGCCACCAGATTCTGCGGTGGAGTAGAGTTAGGAGAATGGAAGTGCTACTTTCTACCGATTTTGAGACCATAGCTCTAACTCAAGAACTACCGACCTCGTTTTAGATGAAGAATTTTTGGGAATGATTGGAAATTCCCATATCCTTTTGGCCCTGATACGAAAACTCAATTTTCTTTTGTGAAACAGATTAGGTGTAGTACCCTCGGTATCGTTTGCGAGGTCAGACCATCGGCCGTCTGTTATCTGGTGCGGCACTCTATCTCCTATGTGTATCTGCGAGTGTTATGATGAACCCAGGCGAAATATCTCTCATCGACTGTCAACAATCAATATTTCTAAATAATTCGCCAATGATCGGTTCCCAACCACTGGGATCGACGGATCAATTCAAAGAGATCAGTTACAAGACTCCAAGGATCCTATCAAATCATTTCCCTAACAGACATTCAAGGAAGCACTACTACAAGCAAAGAAATTGCCCAAAAAAAAAGAAAACAAGATTCAGCTGTGAAAGGCGCTTTTCCGGTATGCGCCATGCACATGAACACCTAATGGATTGTGGCAAACTTTCACTGTGATTGATCCACTCACTGACCTGTGGGAATGGGCGCTTCTGGAGTGAATGTTTATCTTTCTTCCACGCTTGAAGTATGGTTTACCGGTCTTAGAAAGTCGCAGGAGGAGCATCAGCAAGATTCGATCCTGCAAAGTGATCACTTGGGACATGGGCTCTCTTGAATCTGCTCCCTTACCGAAACCTTTTTTATGAGATGCTAGTACGATGAATTTCTCCGATTCTCCGATTCCACCATTCCACCTACTGTGGAAGTTTTCTTTGCAATATTGGGGTAAAGGGGTGGAGTGGAGGTGGCATGTGGGACGTATGAAATTTGAAACAAGACAATTCCTCTGAACCGATTGTAATGTTGTTCAGAAGACGAGCACCCTGAAGACGACGAGGATGATGAGTTTGCCGTCACTAACAAGCCGAAACAACTGCAAGGAGTGATCAAATGTGAGGATTCTTTTCGTTTCCCTGAATCAGAGATTAGCAGTTTCCGCTCATAATTCGACTGGCTTCAACGCTCAGCTCTATGTTAGTTAATCTTCTTTCTTGTCCTCACCATTATCGAAGCTTTCCAATCCTCTTGAGGCGCCTATTTCTTGCCATTCCTTGCCTCCAATTTTCCCTCTTCAACGGATCCGTTGTCCGTGAAAGCTCTTTATTCTTTGGAGTAATTTAATAATTCCCATCTAATAACCGTAATCCCCTCATGATCGCACGCGAGAGAATTGTGTCCGTTCGCTCTCAACAAGTGCGATTGTTTATAGCTCGTCAATCCCACCGCTCTCGTCCCATCTTATGCTGACCCTAGAAGAAAGGGAGAGTGTGGAGAGTGTGAGACCGAGTGGCTGCTGAGATGACCGTTCCAGTTGAGATCATTCAAACAACGCTAACGAGATGCCTATACGACCAGTTAGGCGGTGGTCCTCTTTGCGGCAAGAGGGCGAAATGATTTCCAGGAGCTTTTTGCTTTGAAATGCGCCATGCATTTGTCCGTGAAGCATTTGGAAGTTATACTCAGCTTTGGCTCAGCAGCAACTTGGTGATGACCCTACTAATGGCCCGAATTTTCAGAGACTATCTACTGCTTAGTATGCGGTAGCAGAATTAATGCTGGGGCAGTGGGAGAGAGAGGGGAAGGTTAATACTCTTCTTGTCTTTCACCTTATCATTGGTTCCAAAAAAATTAGAGCTTATTTGAGAGCAAAGACCAAACCACCTATGATTATTGAGAAAAGAAATTGACGGGATGTTAAATGGTTCCCCTTTTTTTCTGAAATAGCGACGGTCTCTCTGCAGAGCTATCATTTTGCTGTTTACCTTTCCAGATGCTTTCCCTTATGATCGATAAAATCGTGAACACCGATTGAATGGTCTCTCAACAAAAGCAACAATAACCAACAACAACGATGCCTAGGAATATTCTGGAGGCTTCAACGGCTTGTCCAGCACGACCCTTCTTACACGGACTGTGTCGATCCTTTTTCTTAGCCCTGGAAACCCAATTAATGAACAACAAAGACAGCCGCGCTGCTGCTTCCTTCTACATATACATATGCTCAATTTGATTTGTTCAATTATAGCAGCGCTTTTCCCAAGTGCTCTGGTACCCGCTGAGGGACATGTCAAGTCCAACTTCTCCTCTTTAGACATTTCTTCGCTTGATTTTAGCTTTTGATTTCGGAACTCCTATGGTTATGTCAGCCACATAAATGCAAGGGATTAGAACAGTTTGTATAGTGAGAACGATATTCGTCATTCTCATAATGTTTATTTTATCTTCAGCCAATTGACTAAACGGGCTTTGCCTAGCGCGAGGTTTCCCCACTCAGTGACCGCTTCCTCCCTGGATCTAAGGGGTTCCGCAACCAAGATCCTTCCTCTTTATTACCTTCACCCCCTTGAATTCTACAATTTAGTCCTTTCGTAGTCCTGCTGGGTAAGAGGGCTTTATAAATCCTTTTCTGGGGTAACCTGTTGACCATGAGAGTAAGAGGATTCGCAGTGGATGGCCAAAAAATTTACAGCACTCGAGATAGCGGTCTCTCTTCTTTTCCGTGCTGGAACCAATCTTAGGGAATACTTGAAGAATAACGGTAATACCGCCTGGAAACTTTATATGCTTTTCTCTAGCAATTGATAAGCCTCAGTTCAAGCGCAGATACATTTGTTAGGATTCTATAAGGGTGAAGTGGACTGGGCTTGGCTTTACCCAAAAGCTATGTGAATTATTTCTTCACAAAGGCCTTTTTTCTATGCTCCTCTCCGATCCATCATCGTTCAATTCTTTTTTTTTTTCGAAGCGCTCACAAAGGCCTTTTTTCTATGCTCCTCTCCGATCCATCATCGTTCAATTCTTTTTTTTTCGAAGCGCTTTGGTAAAAAACGACATTTGTCGGGTCCATAAATACCGTATACCATTACTGCGATGATAAGGCGAGTGCAGGAGGTGACTGTCTATTTGGGCTGAAAAAAGTCTTCCATCGCCGTTTGCACTGCCACATCTGGCGTAGAATGGCGCATTTGGACACGAGAGAGATAGTTCAGAAGAGGAAATGCAGGAGGTAAAAAAAGTCTCGTGGGCCTTTTACCTATAAAACCTACGTTGCCCGAACGAAATATTTGCACTTTAGGAAGAGGCATCTTGGGACGGCTAATGGGTCTTTTCTCGGATTGAAATATAGCCCCATCGTCTGCGGACATTTCATTCCATTTTACTTCGCGTACTTCCATCCGAATAAAAGCAAAGTCAAGGTTTTGGTGGTACTGGACGTTCCGGCTTTCCTTTCCTAGTCGGAGTCACTACGAGAGCTGGATGGATGTGATGGTGAAGGGAAGAATTTCGTGAAAAATACAGGCTGCTCTTGGGTAGGGTACGCAGTGAAAGAAAATCTTTTTCCCATTTCCACTTTTTATTTTTTCTATTTCCAACTCCTTTCATTTCTTTCCATCCTACTCAAATTCCACTTTTCCCTGGATAGTTTGCCTTTCTTCATGGCTCTTTTTTATGGTTTAGTCTTGCACTTTTCTGTAGACTTTGCCATGACACAGGATCCTTTGTATTCAATTTCACCTTTTTTGGATATTTCTTTTCCCGTTCCTGCAACGTTCCTGAAAAGTTTCCATTCCGCAACTCATAAAAAAACATCGCTGCATGAGCAATGTGGGCGAGCGCCCATTTCGAAATGCGCTTTTCTTTCAGTATTTACTGTTTTCCGAGTGATTTGCTCGAATTGTCAATTCCCATACCTAAGAAGGCTCCTCACTGATTCTACCACTCATAAAAAAACATCGCTGCATGAGCAATGTGGGCGAGCGCCCATTTCCAAATTCGCTTTCCTTTCAGTATAGACTGTTTTTCGAGTGGTTTACTCGAATTGTCAATTCCCATACCTAAGAAGGCTCCTCACTGATTCTACCCTGTCAGTCCACCTCTAAAGCCACTCATCGCTTTCTGGTCTCTTCTGGTTCTTCCCTTTTAATCGCCTCCATAATTCGAACCAGATGTCACAGATGCTACAGATACTCGACGTCTTGATCTAGAACGGAACGTCCGAAA